GGTGGGGGCGGTGTCCGTGGGACTGGGGGGGTGCTGGCTCTCCTCCCCTGGCACAGCCAGGTGGGGTTTGGGTTCATTTTGAGCCTTTTGGCTTCTCTGGGTTGGTCCTGGTGTATCCCAGGGTGGGAGTGATGGTTCGGCTGGGCTGTGGCGCCACCGTTGCCCAAGGGCGTTGCTGGCTGCACAGGGTCCCACCCCTGCCTCCCGCAGGCCGTCACATCCCCGCTGACCCCCTCTCTCCATTTTCTTTCCACATTTTTGGGTGAAACTGGCCCCACCATGGAGGGATCCTGGCACCCTGCACCCCAGAGCGTCGCACGGAGCAGGGGGTGAAACCCCTTTGGGGGTGTTCAGGGGCCTCCAGTGGACAGGTACGAGCAGGGCGGGGGGGTCCAGGGGGCTGGGAATGGCCCCAGGGAACGGGGAAAGGGTGCAGGGGTTGGGGCTGTGCCTCAGTTTCCCCTTTCCAGGGAGGGGTAGGGTGCAGTCCCCACCTCCGGCCACCAGGGGGCAGCACTTCCCTACGTCACCCCTGTCCCCAGCTGCGTGACCCCCCAGATGTACAGCCCCCCCAGCTCCCCAGATGTGCAGCCCCCCATATAGGCCCCCAGATGTGCAAGGCCCCCAGGTGTGCCCGATGCCACCACAGGTCCTGCTGGCACCACCGGCCTCACCGGGGTCCCTGGTGCTGGGGACATTCAGGTGACATTCTCAAGGGGCATCACAGGAGGTTTGGGGTTACAGCCCCCCAGTAGATCAGCACCCCCCAGTAGAAATCCTGCTGTGGGAGCGAGTTGGCGGGGGGGCCCTGACGTGGTCCCCCCATCCCCTCCTCCCTCCCTTAGGGACTGAGCACCCTGCCTGGAGGGGGGGCTTGGGGACAGGTTTGGGGAGCAAAGGGGGGGGTCTCTTGGGATATGTGTCCCCCCCCCGCCCCGAGGGTCCTGTCCTGCTCCGGAGGGCATTTAAATGGCGTTTGGGATCCATTTAGGATGGTGGGTGCTGGCTGGCTGGAGGGTGCTTGTCCCTGTGCTGCTCCCCAGTACACCCAGTACCACCCACCAGCCAGCACTGGGCCACGCTGGGGTGCAGAGCCACCACAGCACCCCTCCCCAGCACCCGGCGGGGGGCCAGTGCCCCTAGTCCCCCTTACTGGGAGCCATGGGGAGTGGGTAACTGGGGTGCCACAGCATCCCCAGCTCTGCTGGCTCCCCGTACCGCCCAGGGCTCCCGGACGCCTGGGTCCTTCCCAGGGACGGTCCCCAGCACCGGGGCAGCCTCGAAGGCGTGACGAGCTGCAAGGAGGGAGCAAAGTCCCTGTGACGAGGACAACAAACCCCATCGGGTGCTTGTTAACTGGGGACGCTGGTGGCACCAGCTCAGCCCCAAATTGTGCACCCCGGCGTGTCCCCAGCCACCCCAAGCTCTCCCTGCACCCAAGCCATGTCCCGAGGGCTGCGCCAAGGCGTCCCAAGGCCCCGCGCCCCAGCCCTGCCACAAGCTCAGCCGTGCCTCAGTTTCCCCAGCCGCATCCCGCTGCCTCCCCAGGCTTGGCTGTGACGTGGGGGCTGGAGGAATCCGGCTCTTTATGGCACCCGTGGGTGTGGGGTGGGCTTGGTCCCCATCCCCCCCGCAGCACCCATGGTACGGGAGGACTGTGGTCCATCCATGTCCACCCCTCTGCAGGGACAGGGTGCTCGCCCCACCCCTTTCCAGCTCCTCCCAGTCACCCCACTGGGTAAGCTGGGAATGGCCACTGGCTGCGGAAATATTATAAACCCCCATTTTCTTTTTTTTTTTTTTTCTTGATTCCCAGCCAGAGGTGACACCTCCCCGTGCAGCCCCAGCCCTGCCGTGCCCACCTCTCGCCCTTCCCCAGGCTTGGGAAGTCCCCAGGGGCCACCAACCCCTTTGGGAAGAGCCGGGAAGGGGCTCGGAGGCTTCCCCATGCCTCCAGCCCGGGGTGACACCATCAGC